AATTGCGGGTCTCCTGAGTTCATCGCGTGAAACTGCTTCAGGTATGTTTATCTGCGACCGAAGGAGCAACTTTCGCGTAAAGAAGCTCGTTAAACGAGTGTCACGGGCATCTCTGCGGATTCACCGGGGTTATCCGAGCACTTCCGGCAGATTTCGAGGCCGCCGACAAGGCGTCGCGAAAACGAGGCGGACATTTATAAATAAAAATCACGGCGAATTATGTAATCGTAATCGCCGGCGAGATTCCGTCTTTTCTCTTTTTCAACGCCAATGTCATCGGTGTTGCATCACCGGGCCTGCAACTTCGCCATGTTCTGAGAGAACGTCTGGCAGCTGGTGTGATCGCTAATGCCGGGCGTTCCCTTTGTTATAGAAACGGAACACCGCGAAAGAACGCGCCGGATATCTCGACGGAACACTCGAACCTTCTTTTCTGGAAATAAATATGAAGCGTGGGTCGGATATCAGCGCGGAACGTTATGCAATTGAAGCGATGTGCAATGGACAGTATCGGCAGCAAGTGCGCAAATTCCATTTATCGGGGTGTTAATGGATTTACGGGTCAGTGGAGCGCGCGGCATGTGTAAAACCACTGAAAACACGAGCGGCTAATGTTGTTTTTATACGGAGATGACATTGTTGTGTTTCACGGCATAATTTTCTTACGCCGTATCGGCGTCTTCATTAGTTCGATTACAGTCAAGACTATAAACACGGTCACGTACGTACGCTTCGCGCGTTGAGGAAGGACGAGCTGATTGCGTTCCGTTCGAAATTGGTCGATTAAAAAAATGGGGGAAAAAGAACGAGAAATCGAACGGCCGTAAACGGAAGTCGAGACGGAGAAATTTCGAGCGAAATTCGATAAACGTTGCGCAATTTCGACTTCGTTCGCGGAGAGAAAAAACTTGCAATCTTCGAATCGCTATCGAAGTCACCTCGACGGTATATTTTTACGAATGTCTCGCACCGTGTACTTCGAGGCCGGGTGGGATCGCGCGAGAAATAATTGTGTTATTGGAAGAGGGACGGGTAACGTGGCCGACACCAAAAACTGACCAAGTAATCGCGCGCTTCCGGTGAGGGGCGAATTTTTAGCGGTCGGGATCGCAGGGTGAAAGTCGGTGAATTCCATGGAATTTCCACGAGGAACGGTTTCCACGATCATTAATGGTTCGTAACATTGGAACTTGACCTTCAGCTGGCGCGTGCAGTAGACATCCGCAGGAACGTAATCTCTGGAAGTATTACAAATGGCGCTACATGAAGGCATCATTGTTGTTGAATCACGTAATTCGTCGATGGGAACTCGGTTAATTTTCGAAGTCAAACGATAACGATAATCTTCTACTCGCGGTTCGGCGGGGTCAATGCCGATGTATCGACTATTTTCGGAGCGTTA